TTTGATCCCTGTGAATATAAAAATATTAACTGACACAAACACACTGACTAGAAGATGATGATGCCAAAACTGATCTTAAGAAAGAGGAAGATAATGCGAAGCAGAAGTAGAAATAGCTATCATATTAACGAACACCTAGTAGCACCTCAATTATTGAACACTCTGTGGAGAAGTAACAAAAGCCAACGAATCTGGATTCAAGTCTTAGCCCTGTCGCTTTCTTCCTCCCCACAGAAGACTTGAGCTCTGTTGTCTGTAAAATGCATTTGGAACCTTTATTCGGTCAGAGCTGGAGATTAAAAGAGACGATGGAAGCGAACAACCTGTACAGATGTTACTTCTCATTTTTCACCAATTCTTTTCTCATTATGGAACACTGGTTTTGCCATAAAATAGTATGTTTTAAGGCATGTCTAGTGACCTACCTCTATAATCACAGCAATCAGGAGGTGGCAGCAGAAGGATCTCAAGTCAAAAGACAGCTTAGACTCAACAGAAAACCGCCAAAAATGCCCATCCCCAAATCCCTAAATCAATGACCTGGAAAAGGTCTGGGTTTGCTGCTGCTTTTACTTCCTATGCTCATTGGATGCATAGGAAACCATGTACAAAAATACATCCTGTGGTTCAAATATTGCAAGCCTAAAGACACCTGATTACATGCAGTTGTCAGCTCCGGGCAGTTGGGCAAATGTTCGAAGTAGAGGCTTGATGAAACCCTAATGTCTCATAAGCCCTGCTTTGCCTGTGCAGTTCCCAAAGAAGAGTGCAGCATCTGCTTGCCTCAGAGGCAGGAGCACAAGGAAAGACATATTATAGATTCAACATTTAAAATATTTCAATTCGGATCATGGGCAGCATTTTTTTTGTCATTTTTCTTTTCTTAACAAAAATCCTACCAACTTATGCTAGAAATAATCAGAATATATGTGAAAGTAAATCATATCAACTAAAAAGTGTTATAAATGTAGCAACTATAGATAACCAGGGTTAATGCATTTCAGTGTATATTTTAAGATTTCGTTTTGAGCATATGCAAATGGCTTAAATAACAACAGTATATGGTGATCTTTTTTAAAAGAGAGGACTTTGGCAGGCTTTAGTGGTGGCTGAGTTGTATGAGCATGAGGACATGAGTTCAGATCCACAAATCCGTGTATAAACCAAGGCAACTGTAACCCAGGAAGTGGGAAGCCAGAAACAAAAGACTTCTGAGGCTTCCTGGTGAATCAGTTTAGCCAAACCTGTCATTAACTCCAGGGTCAGTAACAGATTCTCTCACACATAATAAGATGGTGAGCTAGCAAGGAAGACACTAGATATCTGCTTTGACCTCAACACACAAACACTCACATCCACAGACATACATACATGGCATATGCAAATACAAACATAAATTGGTGCAGTCACACACAAAGCAAGTAGTTTTAAATAAAACAATAAGCGGGCTTTCTAGAAGAGAAACATGTGGTGAATACCAGGAAGAAATGAGATGGAATGGTATCAGAACAACCATAAACTTTGTACTTTCCGTTCTCTTCATACTTAGAAATTGTTCAGTGATATCTGTCCCTCCTCTGAGAGATGAGACAAGCTCATTAATGTTTATTTCTAAATACATCAGATCCAGAAAGGCTTCTGGTTGTCAATGAAACAAAAGAGAGCAAAGAAGAGAGTTGAGGAGATAAGGGGAGGGTGAGAGAGGAAGAGGAGGAGAGGAAAGAGGAGAGGGGAGGTGAAGAGAGGACATTAGAGAACAGAACAGATTAAGGCAGTGGAGAGGAGGGGTGGGGAGGGGAGAGGAGAGGGCAAATGTACCCCCATCTGGTAGATACATCCTGAGCAAAGCTGCAAAACAGGGCAAAGCTTCATCACACATTCTGGTCACCTTGAGGAGAAAGGGGACAATCACAGAATATCTGGCAAAGGTTTGCTATGGGGACTAGAAGGTAATCAGATATGAGCAAAGACTGCTCATCAGTGCACAGCACCCAATCGTATAAGGCTGGGAGGTTCTAGGTACCTTTCTAACCCTCAGGAATTTTCTGAAAGAAAGAAAATCGGAGGCTATAAAGGCATGCCATCAGACTCCAAAGATCAATGATAGGATAGAAGTGGGGCTGCCTAGCACTGAATGACTTTATTACTTCTAAACAAAAATTTTGATTAAAGTATATCAATATTAACTCTATTTTATAGGATTCTAGCATTTCTGCCAAGAAAGTTCTGTTGCAACACCACAGAAAATGTCCCCAATGAAACTGTTTCGGTTTATGAATGCTATCTATTTCTAGAAGGAAAAAAGCTCACTGCTGCTTGTCATAAATGGGAGAAGTTTACATAAGAGAAACAAAACAGAACACCCAAAATGAACAGTACATTTAAAATAAAACACTTCAGCATTGCCAAAAATGAGCACAACAAATAGCTTATACATTTTCCCTATTCTAAATACCTTACAAATAAAGCATTTTTCAATCCAGAGTCTTTACTGGAAATATTCAAATTTAATCATCAAATGAATGGGTGAAGAAGCCCTTCTTCCACAGCTGATACTTAGAAAATTAAGATATGAAGGCTGTAATGTGTCAGAGACACAGCAGTTTTATTCGAAAACAATTTGGGAAGAGAAGCGACCATAAATTCTAAGACCAAGAAAACTGAAGTCCTATTTACTTCCTTACTTTAGGAAGACAGAAAACCCATAGTCTTTAGAGCCAAACAGAGGTCAGATTGACTCTCAGCTCTCATCATCTCAATATATGATATTTGTCCAAATTTCTTCATTTCTTGGAGCCTTCGATGTCTCAACTGTAAGTTGTGGGCTATGTTATACTTAATTCGCATGGCTGCTGTGCCATTCAATAAAATAATTATTTACATAACTCAACACTGCTCCACATGTACTAAGCTCTCAATTGACATTAAACATCTAGTTAGCCTGCCTTTTACAATCATAACTCAAGATACAATTCTCATACTACATAATTCACTATTCTAAAGAGTGCAACTTCTAGGGAAATTACAAGGAATCCACAAGGATGGCCCCAACTAAGAATCTAATCAATAGTGGAGAGGCTACCTTAACTGGCCTTTCCTTGTAATCAGATTGCTAACTACCTTAATTGTTTTAATAGAGCCTTTATCCAGTAACTGATGGAAGCAAATTCAGAGATTCACAGCTAAACAGTGGGCCAAGCCCCCAGAGTCCAGTCAAAGAGCAGGAGGAGGGATTATAATGAGCAAGGGGGTCAAGAGCATGATGGGGAAACCCACAGAGACAGCTGACCTGAGCTAGTGGGAGCTCACTGACTCTAGACTGACAGCTGGGGAATCTTCATGGGACCAACTTTACCCTCTGAATGTGAGTGACAGTTGGTTGGCCTGGGCCAACTAGTTTGTGGGGCCACTAGCAGGAGAACCAGTGTTTATCCCTCGAACATGAACTGGCTTTTTGGAGCCCATTCCCTAAGGAGATATACCTTGCTCAGCCTAGTTACAAGGGAGCGGGCCTTGGTCCTGCCTCAAAGGTTGTGATAGACTTTGATGATTCCCCAAGGGAGGCCTCACCCTCTGTGAGGAGTGGATGTGGATGGGGGTGGGCAGCAGCAGGATAGGAGGGAGATGGAACTGGGATTGGTATGTAAAATAAGATTGTTTTAAAAGTAAAAAATAAGAAGAAGAAAAAAGAAGGGCAATTCAATAATTATTTGTTTTGTAAACCCACATGTATAATCCTTAGCAATTCTCATCTTAAAATATTGCCACACCCACATGAGGGCTAGAGTTTGAATTCTGAGAACACACATAAAAGCAGGACAGGCTTAGTTGCTTTTTATAATCCCAATACACAGGAAGGAGAGACAGAGGGTCCTGCTAGACTAGCAGGAACTGGCAAGCTCAAGATTCAGCAAGAGACCCTGTCTCAACAAAAAAATAGAGATCAGTAGAGGAAGATACCCAATGTCAATTTTGCTAGGCCTCCTTGGGTGCACACACACATATGTATGGGAGCATCATGCACCTGAGTCCACATGAATACAAACACACATGCATATACCACCTCTCTCTCTCTCTCTCCTGGAGGAAGTCAAAGCTAAATTCAAATCCAATCTTTTCCATGTATTAGCTGTGTGACCCTGTTTGTTGCTTCCTTTTACTCAGCCCAGGTTTCTCCAATCAATAACAATATCTGTCTAATAAGTCAGCTGTACCAATGCAGTGAGGTAATGTACATATAGAACCCACTCATTGATAACCCATAGTGAGTGTCTGAAAAAGGGCTGTTGTCAGTATTACAACTTGTCCCCTCCAGTGCACTCTGCTTATTGACCCTCACTTTTCTTTGTATCATTCTGCTAGGATGAATCCCCAGACTCTAAAACAGCAGCTCATGTATGATTAACACAACATGAATTTCCGGTATTAATCACTTGTGAGCACACACATGTGCATTTCTTTTCATTTAGGCTAAGTACTAGTCCAGAAAATAAAAGTGTTTGAAATAGTAACAGTACAGAGTAAAAATCATAGACACAAATGCTCACATCTAGTACTAACTGAAGACAATTTTATCCAAGAGCTGTGTCTATCAACACTGTTGCCCAAATATCAAAATTAGTGGCTGCGGTCACTTGTAGAGACATAGCAAAATCCCGCCATATTCTATAGCTCTAAAAAAGCCACTACCTCTCTCTCTAGCTGACTTCCCTCGTCCTTCCAGTATATGAATCCATACCAGCCAGGATCTCTGACAGCTCTGAGAAATTTTAATTAAAGATTCACAAAGCAAGTAGACTGTGAAGTCACAATTTAGAAACAGGTCATCTCACAGCCTAGATTACTAAACTCTTTTTAGCTATATTATATTCCAACATTGGTAGAATCACTAATATATTTTCAAGAATTCTAAAGGCTCCACCATTCAATAGTAAGCATTATTATTTGACCCCAGGTGGTGGTTGATTATATTTGATCTATTATTCAGAATGCAAACTTACATTTTAATGAATCATTTCCTTCCTCTTTAGTGAAGACCCATTCACAATCCTTCATAACTGGCAATGATGTGTTTTACACAGTGTATATGTGACAGCATGACAGAGTAGAAAGAGCAGTGGCGTGGGAGGCAGATACAGGGCCACTAACTGCTTGACTTGGGTAAATGCCTTGGTTATTCTGAATCTCCATTTCCTCTTCCAGAAAATTAGGGAGACTGAACTGTAGATGACTAAGAATTCTTCCGGCTGTACTACTCTCAGATTATTTGGTGTCTCTAGGCAACACAAAACTGACATTGGAGTTTCTTAACACCTGCTTAATTTAAATAATTAATGTCCCTGCAACTCTGATGACAAGCCATCAAGTGACTTAATCATGAGTTACTTAGAGAAGAGTAGAGAACTGAGGTCTGTTTCTAAAGCCCCAAGTCCTGGTGAACTGGAAAGTGGTTTATTAAAGAAAATGAGAGAAAATTCACATTCATGGGGATAACACCTTCTGCATAAAATGGTTTGCATAGCAGGTCATAATTATTTTGCCTTGGAGTAAACAAACCCCACTAAGCAAAAAAGAAAAAATTGTTATTCTTTGGAAAACATGATTATCGAAAAACTAGACATACAAAACAGATGCATCAGGGGCAATTCTTCACACTACAAAAGGAGCTAGGTGGATATGTGGACTCAAATCCTGACCCTGACAATTAAATTCTAGGAAAAGGAAAGATAGAGCAGTTCTGATTACCAAATGGACATTTACTGATGAAATTCCTTGCCCTGAATCAGGAGATGGGCAATCAGACCCAATACCAATCTCATGCACATAAGGATTCATTGTGTAATGGGAAGAATACACATGTGAATCGGAAGCTTTCTTGGGTTTGAGTTCACATACCCAACTCCTCTCAGAGATCTTTGTTTTTTTTCTCTACATCCCTGTATGCACATTATTTAGAACAGCACTTTACACTCATGAGAGAGTTCTAGAAGGGAACAGGGAAGAAAGGAGGAAGGGAAGAAGGTGTCTTTCTTATTATTAGTAATACATAAAAATACAGTCTAAGTTTACAGAATGTGTATTACACATTGTATGTTCACATTAACTCTCCCAATTCCCCCTTCTAGCCATAACTTCTTTAATGAAACCCTGGAGGTGGACAAGGAAAGTCAAGTAGTTATTTATCTTCCTGCAAATTCCACAGCAAGTCTACCAAACATCTCAAAGGCAATATTCCCAAAGTAAACTTTTGCTATCTACAAATCCTGTTCCTACCAGCTTTGCACCACTCAAAAGACTGTTACCTTTCATTCATACTCCTCACATCCCTTGAGTCTACTTCAAATCTACCCAATAACCTTCAATTTTCTTACCAGCAAAGACACCATTTTATTCAATGTGACTATGCAGCTAGATAAAAGTCCTGTCCAAGCCCTCTTTGTATGCAAGGAGTAAATGAAAGTCACTGGATTAGGCTCTAAAGATTGTTCTCTAATGGAAATGTCACAGCTAAGAGGAAGACCACCTCCTCCCTGATTAGAAGGCCATCAGGCAAGCTGGACCAAGAACCAAGAAAGAAGTTTAAGGATTCAAAACAAGCTTAACTCTGGAGAAGCATAACAGAAGAAAGCTCAAAGAGAATGTCCGTGTCCTGGTGACATTATATATATAGTGACCCCTCTGCTCTGAACTACTCACCTCTAGATTTCTTTCATGTGAGAACTGCATGGTCAGTCTAAGTATTTTGAATAGGTTTCTGTCATTTTGAATTGAATAGCTTCTCTGATACAAATTCTCCTCTCAAATATTTGTTTCCTTCATGGAACTACCTACTGGCTTTTGACAAGTATTTATTTCTTTGTTTTGACATTTTGCTATTGGTTTCTACAAGTAGGATATCAACTCTTTGACTTTACAGACGACTCGGTTCACGATCATGCAGCACATGACTGACATAACAGGAGTTTTAATTAACACTTTTAGATGAATGTTCAAGCTTGAGTATGGTATGATATGCCATGGACACACTACGTCCTCTCATTATGAACAAAAGTACAAGGAGTACATTAATTCAAATTATAGATGGACAAATATACTTGATCCATTGTGCTAATATAACTCTACTGAACTTTATTGAGCATCAACTAACTGCAAATTAACAAACCCAACCTGACTGATTTAGACCACTTTGAAATTTTAACATGAAATACAGAATGAGTGATCATTGCTAATTTTTTAATATACAATTTCCAAGATGGTGAAAGGTTGATATTATAGTGTTATGACTCATATCCTTAATTATTTTTTCTCACTTTTAATATATTGTTCTCCCATCAATGTTTTTCCTCCATAAAATGAACAAAGCAATATTTCTAATTTGTCCCAAAAGACCATCTAATTTGAGGTAATTAATATACAACAGACTGTAATAATATAATTGTAGCAGTGTCCACTCTGGTAGCTGAATTCTCCCCATAAACACTATTTTCATCTTTATGAATCTTGCAAGAAACTATAAATATTAATATTAATATAAAATGTCTCTTCTAATTGCTAGCCTAGACACTGATTTTCATGAAAGCAATACTACAAGTTTTTCTGGAAGTTGAACAACTTGCTCCTCTTAGTTGGTGAAAAAAGGAAAAAGGAAAGAAGGAAAAAATACATTATGTATTATGGCTCATTAACCAAGCAGAGAGATAAGGACACTGGAATGAATGTTAGTGAGGTAAAAGAAGCTAAATTAAAGAACATACAGCAGGAGGGAAGACAGTTCACAGTGAACATGTTCCCATCTCTTCCATGACAACCACCTGATTACTGATGGATAAACTTCCCTGGGGAGCACAAATGAAAAATAAAATAAGCAAATCTGATAATGTTGCTACCAGCTTGGACAGTAAGAATAATAGTAACCACATGAGCTGAGAAACTGCTAAACTGTAAGGATTTCTGAAGGGAATCATAACAACAATAATAACTACCATTAAATGAGAACTGAAGATGCTTAATACTGGAGGTGTTTTTGTACCTGATTCTAGTGGGACTTAGTAATCTCTGGAGACACATTTGACTGTCACAACTGGGAAGGGGATACTACTAGTATCTTACTAGTGGAGGCCAGGGATGTGTTAAACATCTTATAACACATATGATAGATAGTCCAATACTACAAGAAAATTAAGAAGTCTAAAATGTTAGTGGTTGAGAAATACCATTTAATTCCTTCCCCTATGCTATAAAGGAAGAGTATATGGTCCAGAAGGAGTATGTCTTTGTCATGTCTCTCATATTATTTATTGTATTCTTTCCATCCATCCATTCATGTATCCATTCTTTCATCTATTGTTCTTAGCTTAATATTTTACTTGATTATGGGATGCTGCCACTTTACAAAGTTTGAGAAACACTTCTTAATCAACAGGGATTGTGGATGAGTTGAAATGCAGGTGTTTCTTCCCTTTCCCAAGGAGCCTCCTGCTATTTAGAAAGGCAATAATCTTATGATAAAAATGCTAAATCCAACACACACACATACATACACACACACACACACACACACACACACACACTGTGTCCCTTAGATATGTCCTTACTGCTCATGACCCAGACAATAAGTTCTGCATTCTTCCTCTATTCCCCATTCATTTGCCTAATAAAGCATTTCTGCTTTCTTACTGGTCTATGCTGTTTGGATCAACTCTTTGGTATAAGGAACTAATTTTGGCTGGAGTAGGAAATGAGATGCTGTAATAAATGGGACAGTTCTCTTCCATTAGGGACTCCCCAAGATGATGGGATACTGTAGTTTCAACACAAGCAATATTCTACCAGAAATGCTAAATAAGATCCTCTGGAGGTTACACAGTTTTCTGCAACTACAAAAATGGGGAACAATTGTCAACAGGGATTCCTGCAGGAAGTAACAATAACAGGAATGCTGAATGGCCAGAGATAAGCTGTAGATTATACCTTTAAAGAAATGTATATACCTAGAAGTGGGACAAATCCACAAAGAAGGATCATCAAATCCTCTCTGATTTTACAGTTTTGGACATTGAGTCAAACCAACATCATAATTCTGAAGCCCTTTTACCTGCTCTACTCAGTGACTGGCACTATTATGGCTATCTAAATAAATATCATGTCCTTTTCTTTGTATCCAATGCTCTTCATTCTCTACATTCATCCTAATTTCCCGTTATAGGAACCTGTCCAATATCCTAAATAGCCTGCACTTCACCCACCAGAAATCCCTGAAAATCTCTCCCCTTCCTGCCTTTGCCAGTGTTTAAACCTTCCTTTAGATCATTCGAGTTTTTGTCTATATTTCACACTCACTGGTAACTTGCACTCCCCCAAAGACTATTAGACTATTAGTTGTATTCATGACAACTGTATGAGCAAATAGCAAATGATAAATAACATTTTACTCACTGATTACAATCACAGCACTGTTCTTCTTTATGGTTTGGTGTTACTATTGAAGCAAAGGGCTTCAGTGTTGAAGAATAATTGTCCCTAGAGCATTAATGAAATTACTGAGAGAAGACTAAACCATGAGGACTCTGACTTGCTGAACTGATCAATTTAGATTTTATGATGAACAGACCATTATAGATTTATTACTTAATAGTTAAGAGGTGATAAAACTACCACATGGGGCATCATTGAAGGAAATGTATCGTTGAATGTTACATTCTTGGAGACTTATTTCAGACTCCTTCTTCTACATCTCTTTACTTTCTGGCCTACATGAGGTGAAGAAATTTCCCTGTCACACCCTTCTGCCATGAGATGCTGCCTAATTTCATCACAGAAACAATGGATTCAGCAAACCAGGGAGTGAAGTCTCTGAAACTCTGAGCCTAAATACAACCTAAAGATACACTTTCAACTCCATTTTGCCATTGCAGAAAAAGAGAAAGAGAAAAGTGATGGAAGTTTCTGAAAATGGTTCCCCTTACAGGGATCTGAACAAGGATTCAAATTCAGTTCCAGTAGGTCCACCGATGACTAATTGACACCATGCTACACAGCTTGTCCTGGGATGCCTTCCAGAAAGCCCATCTCTAACAGCTACCTTGTTCTGCTGAATTCTGAAGCACACAGTGCTTTTAACTCTTACTTTCCATGTGGACTTTGCTTACTGCTATAAATAATCAGTAGCAATAAGTGTAGGCATCTAAACAACCTTTCCAACAAATAAGTCAATAAGTAGATTCTCCATATGACATGTGCCCTTTCAATTGGCTGACATAGGTTCATTCATTTAGTCTAGACAAACAACTCTTTTATCTTAGTTCATACCTAGTAGGTGAGGCACAAAAAGTTAAAGGCACTTACTTGCCAAGGGCCTCTCGACTAGCAAACCCTGAAACCAGATTTGAACTTAGGCAGTTTAGTCTTTCATCTTCCAAATCAAAACCTCTTGCATTCAAACT